GTACGGCAATATCAAGTCGATGAAAGCTAATGGTTGAAATAATGCTGCCTATAAAAATCTTTTGCTGCAGAATTGTTATTTTACTACTAGAGTCTGCTGAAAGCATTTTTAAGTTCATATTGTTGATGTTTATAAAGTTAAATTATTTACTTAAGAGGAAGAAGAATCTGGGCAATTTACATTCCAAAATAAAGCACAAGGATTCTCACATATTCTTCTCTTCCCTCAGGAGGGAGATGTAAAAACCCTTTCACCGTTTGCTCCTGAGAGGGTGGCAGTATCGACCATCTGGGTTTTGTACATATTAAATTCTCCCTGACAGATTTTGTAAGGTTTCTATTACAGATACACACACATTTCATTGACAAAAGAAGGAAGATGGAACTGTTCTGTCCTGATACAGCACTACTTCAGACTGTCCGAAAGAAAAGCAACAGCGCTATCCATACTAATAAACCACGTTCACTTACAGTTTCCCCAAAGCATTACACTTCTTTCTGGTCATATCTCAAAATCAGTAATCACAGGAAGTATTAGGAAGAAAGTAAGTTGGATCTATTTGTAGATCTGTTATTCTAATAATGTCTTTATTTTAAATTACAAGATTCACTACCATTCCACTATATTCAACTTTGGGGTTTATAGTGGACTTCCATTGAACTGTGTTTTTTTCCTGCACATTTATTTAAATGAACCAAATGACACTCATAGGTTGGAAAAGTACATATGGGGAACAGAAAGAAAAAAAAAATACCCCTAGAAGGGAAGAACCAGACAGGCACAGTTCAGTGACATTTACCGTAGCCTTTCTAAAACCTACTCTTTGGCTAATTCCAGCACTATGAAAAATGGGGACCTTCTCTGAAAAAAAGGAAATGGGAATAACAAGGCAGAATTTAAGAAATCAATTTAATTGTTTCCTCAATGCACTTGGCAGGACACACGTTCTCCCCTTACTGCATTCGCATTACTAAACAAGTAACAGTGAGACTTTTCATTACACAGCACCACAGGAAACGACCTGGTACACAGTAAGTTAACAAGAGCAATGGACCAGTTTCCATCACCTCCTTCCATAAACAAAACACTGTCAGCACAAAAAAATACACCAAGAAACCTAAAGAGAGACAGCAAAACAAAGTGCCTTTGCCCTCTGTAGCACAGCACCGGATAGCTAAGGCGAGGGGAAGCCCTTCTACAGACCACTATTTAAGACACGGTCCAGTTAGCGGTTGCCACTGCTGAACGTATCGACATTGGTTATCTCAGCTGAATTTGTAGCAAAGATATCCAAAGCACTACCGATCCAATCTCAGTTTACATAATTACATGATAGGCAGCGACTTTAACAGAGCAGACAAGATGTATCGGTAAGGCAGCACTCACGGGGAGCTCGCAGGCAAACCCAACGATGCTGTACTTGTTTTAAAACATCAGGGCAGGTAAGAGTGCTCTAAAACTCTTCTAAGTTGACAAAGTCAGTTTAACTAGGTCAGATACAGCTTGCTGGAAAGATCAGACACACACATCAGAAAAAGTTCAAAGTGTGTCATTTCATGAAATGGAGGATTTCGTTTCTTTTAAGTTATCTCTCTTCCCTGGAAAGATACCGCATTAGGAGCTGGAAGACAGCCCAAACACTCCTAATTTATATTAAACAATATATTCTATTATTCTGCAAGAAAAAGAAGATGTAATGAAATTAGAGGGGAGAGAAAACTATATTGGTTTGGGCAGTTCCATGGTTAACATCAGATTATTAAAAGAAGAAAATAATAATTCCTAAGCTTATTTTCCATGTGCCACAACTTCTAAGCAACTAAAATTAGGTGGTTTTCATTTTACTTCTGCGTTACAATATGCTGACATTTGCAATGCGGATCTTGCCTGAAAAATCGTAACAAATTTTAATGCTGTGTTTCAGGTTTAAGCTTACACCCAACACCAATGGCAGAACACTGGTCCTGAGATAGCCTGAGAGCACACCTTAAAGAAACCAACCAACCAATCCACTCCCCTAAATATCTTGTTATTTTGAGGCTGGTTAATGCTGGATTTAATTGGGGGGGGGGGAAGAAAAACCCCACCCGCACAGAAGACCATTTTTAACTCCATTTCATTATATACTTGCTCATTAGGCACGAACTTTTCTGAGGGCAAATGAGTTGCACTGAAAAGGAAAAGTTACTATAGACAGGCTGTCACATGAACAGCAGGAGAAAATAATCGTATTGACACAAGGTATTATTTATAATTCATTAAGTAAGAAATTATCACAAAATCAATTTATCCTAGCTTGAAAATAAGCTTGGTTGGTTTGTCTTGGCATTTATCTAACTGCAGGATATCATTAAGCTCTAACAACTTTCCAGTCCACTGGTATTCTTTCTTCAATGTCTGCACTTCACAAACCAGTAACTCCCACAGAACATACATACTGTTAAAGACTGCTCTTTTCACCAGCCTGCTAAGCGGTATTAAAATTGCATGGGCTCCTTCAGCCAAGATATTGTGCTTTACACTGACCTTTAAATTCCAAAGTCATTAGCATAATACAAGCGAAAGAAAAACATTTTTTTTAATATATATCCTGAAGGGCTCTACTATATAAAGATAGATTAACATTTACCACAGAAACATCATTTTTGATTACAAATGATAGCTGAAAAAGAGAAAGTGATGAGAAAGACTAGCACAATGTGAAGTAATTTTTAAACAAGTTTGCTCCAAACAGTACTTAAGAACAAGTGCCTTCTGCCATGAGAGGCATCAGTACCATTTCAATGACATGAACGAAAGATTTTCTATGCTAATGTAACTAAATGAATCCCAAACCTTTAAAAATGGTAAAACAATTCAAGATTAGTGATGATCTAGTGAAACAGAAGCTAACACACAGCTGTATGAAATTGTACTTAAAGAGGTGAAACTCCTCAGGTTTATTTATATGAATGACTAGTAACGATCTATTTCAAAAGGTATGTGTTTGACAGGTAATACAACCACTTTTTGCAGAACGAAGACTTCATGTTGATGAGTTTAAGTTCTAACTAAGCTGGTGTGGGTTGTAAGCTTCAATTTAAAATTCACGTATGTGACCACAAGTGGAATCCTGAACTCTGGATAAAACCGTGCGCTTCCTCCGCAATGCTTGGAAAGTGCAACAGGGCTTCAAAGTGGGAGTCACAAAAGCCAAGATCATCGAGCAGGTATTCACCTTCTGCTTAGTGCTAGTCAAAAAGAATCATTCAGTACAAGGTATTTTAAAACCCACGCTTTCTCCTGAGCAAGTTCAGAGAATTATATATGAGGAAATGTCTTCTAACCAAGGGTCTGGAAACTGTGTTTTCTGAGCAGCAGAAACCTCCATCCTTCCTTACAGAAGAAAGATGGCATCCTTAAAGATCTACATACACACATGTACACACTTTAAAAGGAACGTGACCCCTTCTTTTTCTCTGCTAGATTAGTGTAAAAACTAGCTTAAGTTGTAGGGCAACTATGTTCCAGTCTCTCTTTTGTCTGAGAGGATTCAAACGTCCGTAAAGGTAATAAAAAACCCCTTTCTACTCTGGGATGGGAGAGATTCATCACCAGTTCTGCTGGCATGTTTCACTGCATAAAATACCCAAATGCACTGGGTCAGCCGTAGCATGACTGCAGCTCAGCAGATAAGCCAGCCAGCTGGGGAAGTAAGGTGCGGTCCCAGCCCCACCTCTGCATTCTTCTCCTATACATCCTTCAGACTTTGCATCCTCTCCAATAGAGGAGGGCAACACCAGACGACTGAGAAAACTGAAGTACGTGTTGAACAGAGGTGCATCCAAAGCTCACTGCTGGGCAGCTTTATTTTTGGATCTGGGTAACGAAAAATGAAGCATGAACAGAGTTTAGGCAACTATGATCTTTTTTGGATCTAGTTCTTGGACTTCGTCTTTCACTGTGAGGAAGAAACTGTTCTTTTTACCCCGGGGACAGAAAAGAGAAAGGGTGAAGGCTGATGTGCAGCCCTAAGGTAACATCAGGTGAAATGTTTTATTTGAACTCCTACTTGGATACGCCTACATCACAGAAAGCACTATCGCAGTTCTAGTTCTTTTAATAAAGTCCAGATATAATTCTGTAAGTACAGAAATACAATTACTGTATTTTCTCAAAAGGTAGTTCTCCTTGTGAGTGTCACAATCAGGCATGAAGATTAAAGGACATGTAGCGTGAGGAAAGTTATGCAAACCAACCTGTGCCTGCCCTGTATATATGCAGTGAACAGCAGTGGAAATCTAGATCTATTTGGCGTCCAATTTGCAATCATTTTTAACATAACTTCTTGGACTTTTTCCTTTACAAAGGTCTCCAAACAAAGCACTGCAATTGATATTAAACGTGTCATTAGTTTGTTGTTGTCTTAAACAACTTGAAAAAAAAAAAAAAATCAATTACACATCTTTAAGTAACACTTAAGAAGCAATCCTGCCAAAAGACCTACACACGGGCTAAAACCAAACCCATTCTGTTAGTAGAAAAGAGAATGTTTTCTGAATTGGGGAATTAATAGCAAATAAATTGAGTTAAAAACGCTTTTATATGAAGTTATGCAAGAAACTTTAAATGCTGAACAATTTTGTGCCTTAAAACGTTTGTAACTAAACTTCTATTTTAATCCTTTTTCCTTTAGCAGAAAAGCCACTTTTCCTTCCTTGCACAAGCTGACTGGAAAAGCTTGCTCTGTGAAGTATTCACCAAACACTTCTTTTCTGGCAAAGCTCAAGTGTCATCATACTACTTCCAACTCATTTATTACGATGGCCACCATCATGGAAAAAATATTCAACATGGAAAATCTTATTTTTCCTTTACAGTCAAGGAATTTATTCTCCAGGAAACGCACATACTCTTCCCATCCCCCCATGAACCCTTTATACATTGCCAGGATAGACCTCCTCAGCCCCAGGCTTCGATAAATTAAATAATATAAACTTAGGTATAATGAAAGAATTTAATATTTTCTAAAGATGTTGACATATTTTTCCTTGAAAGAACATTTGAAAATACTTCTAAGCATGTGCACTGTTAAAAAGCAGGCTCTAACAAAGCAGTATTTGTATCATTCCACATATGGAATAGACCATAACTTTAATAATTTATTCTCACCTGCAGGTCTATGATTGACATTGGCTACTCTGTATCTCAAAATTCAGTTAATGAACAAAATTATTGTCATTTATACAAAGGAATTTAATATTACCTCCCTAGCCAGTTTATATGGTGATGAACTGGTTATCTGATGTTACTAGGACAGCCTACAACACAACGCCTTTGCTTATTTACAAAGTCTAAATCAAATTTGGTTGTCAAGCACGTTAGGCAAAACTGAACACTCAAATCAGATTTAACCGACTATTTTAAGACATTCCTAGAAATAATACCTACTGATAGAATGTAAAATACATGCTTTGGGCAATAAAAGATATTGCATTGATCAAAGCTGGTTACATAAACAAGCTTAACCAACCACTGCAAAAGAGGTCATCATATCCATTAATAAATTTCCAAACCCCATGACCACAAATTCAGTCCCAATTCAGAAACAGTATGTACAAACTAGAGTTAACTAAACTGTGAATTAGTTAACAACTGAGTTTAACATAATTAGGTGAGGTTAAACACTTTTTCTGTTTGCAAAACTAGTGAACACAGCAGCAAGGAACAAATTCCATTCTTACAACTGAACAAGCATGGAGAGATAAAATACATATAGGAGGAGTATGTGTGTTTCAGATCGCAAAAAATACAGTATATTATTCACACAGTTAGAAAAAACCAAGCCAATTACCAAAATGTTTAATTGGTAAAAGTTTAATGTCAACTTACTTATAAAAATGAAAAAATATTTTAACATTCACCATACAATTGAGCAACCTGGCCCTACTGACTATCAGCTATAGGAAGGCATTTAAGGAAATGATGGTTGTGTCAAAACAAAGGCTAACTTCAGGCATGTATGCTGCTTTAAAAAAAAAAAAAAAGAAAACAAAACCCAAAAAACCTCTCATTTGCAGGAAGCTAGATGCTTAGCCTAGTTTTTAAAGCTAATTACAAAATCCTCTTTCATACTGGTCCAGATGTCTTGACAATTTCTTCTTCTAACAGAACTGTCAAAAGAAAAGAATTTTTATGAGATCTTCATACAGCTTATTTCTAAATCTTTGCAAGAAGAAACAGAAATATGACACCATAGTTAAGATATGGAGATTACTAGTTAAAGCATTTGCTTAATTCATAACCATTCCTTCACTCAAGTGTCTTTTGTAACCACCACCTTACAGAAGGTTTTAAGGACAAATGAACTTTTCCAGGTACTGCATCAATTTCTAAGCTTTATAAATTATTTAGATATCTCAGAGTACAGATTTGAACAATATTCAGTAATAAGATATGTAAAACAAGATGCATAAAAGAATTTGTTTTTTTAATGCAGTAATCTTAACGTATGCTGTGCAACATGGTTCTGCAGAGCTACAGCATTCTTAACAGAAAAATAACGGAATGCTTCATATTGCATGCTACCAGATCTTAACTTGTAAATTTTACAGGCCTTCATTTCAGTGTTTCTCCACTTTATTGGACTACCAGTGTTCCTCAGAAGCTTTTATAATTCCCATTTCCTGAACTTAAAAAAAAATTGAAAACCAGTTATCACTGCCCTACACTTATCCTGACACAGGAAGAGAATCATAGAATCATTTAGGTTGTAAAACACCTTTAAGAGCATCAAGTCAAACCATTAACCTAGCACTGCCATCCCACCACTAAACCACGTCCCTAAGCACCTCATCTACCTGACTTTTAAATACCTCCAGGGATAGGGACTCAACCACTTCCCTGGGCAGCCCATTCCAGTGCCTGACAACCCTTTCTCTGAAGAAATTTTTCCTGATGTCTAGCCTAAACCTGCCCTGGTGCAACTTCAGACCATTTCCTCTTGTCCTATCGTCCGTTACCAGGGACAAGAGGCAGACCCCCACCTCACTACAGCCTCCTTTCAGGCAGTTGTAGAGGGTGATAAGGTCTCCCCTCCGCCCCCTCTTCTCCAGACTAAACACCCCCAGTTCCCTCAGCCACTCCTCATAGGACTTGTGCTCCAGATTCCCCACCAGCTTTGTTGCTCTCCTCTGGACATGTTCCAACAATGCAATGTCCTTCCTGTAGCGAAGGGCCTAAAACTGAACACAGTATTCAAGGTGTGGCCTCACCAGCACCGAGTATAGGGGCACGATCACTTCCCTGCTCCTGCTGGCCACACTATTCCTGATACAAGCCAGGATGCTTCTGGCTGCCTTGGCCACCTGGGCACACTGCTGGCTCATATTCAGCCAGCTGTCAACCAGTTACCCCAGGTCCTTTTCCACCAGGAAGCTTTCCAGCCACTCTTCCCCAAGCCTGTAGCGCTGCATGGGGTTGTTGTGACCAAAGTGCAGGACCCGGCACTTGGCCTTGTTGAACCTCATACAGCTGGCCTCGGCCCATTGATCCAGCCTGTCCAGGTCCCTCTGCAGAGCCCTCCTCCCCTCGAGCAGATCAACACTCCCACCCAGTCTGGTGTCATCTGCAAACTTATTGAGGGTGCACTCAATCCCCTCGTCCAGGTCATTGATAAAAATGTTAAACAAGACCAGCCCTAGAACTGAGCCCTGAGGGACACTGCTTGTGACCAGCTGCCAATATGGCAGCAATCATATCTGGTTTTTTATCCCCCGACAAAAGGTCTAAAAAGGCCTATTCCACTCATCGAAGCAGAGATTAAAAATAGTTAGAATGTCTTTGCATGAAGAAAGAGAAAACACAGTGACTAACTTGCCACTCCATTGTATAGCAAAGCAGTACTGTAACTAAATGTCAAAAGGACTAAGTCAATGTCCTGACTTCTCTCCCCCTTTGCCACTGACCTATTTGTGTGATCTCACACCTTCAGTCAAAAATACTTTTCTAGCCTAAAGCTATTTTACAGTATTAACATGTAATACCATTAATGGGCTAAGAAATAACCAAAAGTCAAGAGAAACTTGTGTGTCGTTTACTGTAAACCAAAATTAAGCACAGAGCCTGGCTGTCTGCTATCAAATACACAGAGCAGTTGAACAGTCTTACCTTCCATCTGTTTCCACATTCGTTACAGACAACAAACGTTGTCATGGGTTCATCAGCACTGCGGGTTTGAACCTTTGGCAAAGGCAACAGTCAGAGTGGAAAAGGAAAATTAGTATCTTCAACTTCCATTAGTATGTGTTCAATATGAAGGTTTAAAATCAAAGTTTAACATTAAGGGAACACATTTGTTAAAATGTTAAAATACAAGTTAATTTTCCGTATCAACTGAAACTATTTTTTTGTCTAGACTACAAAGTGATCATAAACTTATGTTTTGACAGATTTAGTAGCACTAAAATATCAATTTTGGCATAAAAATTACGCATATAATTCTAGGAAAAGATTCAGCAATAAAACTACATGTTCAGTACAGTTTTGCATATATGTACCGATGCTAAGGCTTAGAAGTCTCATGACTGAAAACCAGCTTTCTACTTAAAACACCTGATATACAATATTAAATTATAAATGCAGCCCTGCGTTTAAATTATAAGCATGCCCTGAAGCACCGCTAAACAAATTAAAACCCTTCTCGCACATATTTCCTAATTAAAATAGGAAAAGGTTGTAGGAATGATCGTAAATCAGGATCTAGTGTTAGTCAAATGGTAGGGTTTATATATATAAAAAAATTGTGTACAGGTATATATATTTTGTTTGTATGTATCATTATTTTCTGCTATTTATTCCCTCTGTAAAGAAAAGCTTACACACATTAAAAACAGTAAAGTAGCTCTCCTGCACATAAAACCATATTAATAAAATGTAATAAAAAGAATCAGCAAAAACTCAGCATTGCAAAGAAACCGACATTTCAGGCTATATATATACACTCAGCTTGGATTTATACAAAATCTTTGGTAAATTAATAAAACTAACATTCTTTACACAAGCACAGCTAAGTAGATCCAACTATCTTCATGTATTTTGTAATTTGTTAGCATTTTGTTAGAAGTTCGTTTTGTAATTAAAACTTCTTTTTTCTGACAATCTTTATATAGGAATTAAGCTTTGAAAAAAGGAAAATGAAGAGGTCGAATAACCACGTACCTGGGTGTATGTACAGTTCTTCTTTTTGCACTTGCCACATGTAAACAGATCAGTTTGGGTACCTCCTGTTTTAGCCATCTGGTGCTCTCTGATCGCTTCTTTGGTCAGATTTTTGCGCATTTCTTTCAGCTCATCACTTGCCATTTCCTGTTACGGACAAAGAGTAGAGAGAGTTTACTAGAGAGCTTTTGTTTTAAACAAGTCATTACCACTGTGTGAGTATGTACCATTTTTGATTTAGAATCCATGAGCAACAACTATTGAAGGGCAAACTAATTCTAAACATTTTTAACTTTACAAGACTTAAACTGGGATATTTCACAGCACAGAAGCTACAAAAAGTTAACTTTTTTTTCCCCTACGTAGCTGGGGGGGGGAAAAAAAAAAAAAAAAAAAAGAATCGGTAAAAGTTACAATATCAAACACCTAGAACATTTCTATGCAAAAGCATTTCTGAACTTCAGAAATTCAATAGAGAGACAAGATAGAAGAGGACTTAAAAGTCCTCTAGAGAGGGGGCAAAAGATCCTCTCCCTAAGTTAGATCCTGGCATAATTATCTCATTGACCTACAGAAGATTATTATAGGAAAAAATTACATTATTTTTACTATTTCCATGTTTGTACTGAGGAAGACAGTATAGACATAATTTACCATAAGTCACCAGAAGTCATATACACTTAGTTTCAAAACACTAACCGAAGAGCTCAGATTCACCAATTTTCTTTTTCCTTTAAAACAGTTTGAGTGTGCAGATCTCCTCAACGTATAGTAACCAAGCATGCAAAGCAAACCCAAGTCATTCAATTTTTCTTCAATAAAGTTTTTTCAGCCATTAAAATTTTAGTCCAAGACATTAATTAAAACAAAGAATGGGCACTGGACAACACAAAACGTATGTCTGTGCATATGTACATACACACATGTAGAATGAAAAAAATCAAAATATGCACTGATACATATTTCTTTTACATATATCTTTACATATTCCTTTATCAGCCTCTGTTTGCCCTAACCTTTACGTAAAGCTATAGGGGAAAAAAAACCACCACCTGAACAAAAAACCCCACTTGTCTTTAAATTAAAGCTCATTGTTATTTTCACAATTTGATCATAAATTTAATTTCTTTCAGTCTCCAAGAAACTCCTTTATACCTGATTTGGAGGGGTAGAATCCAACACATACAAGCAGAACTACAAAACTGAAATCGGATGTTAACCATGCTTTTGTTTTTCTCTCTCATAAAATCTAATTTTTCATTTGACTTCCTAGATTTACTTTGATTTGTAAAGACAATGAGCACCTGAACGGGAATTTCTATTCAAGTCTCCAAAATGTACTTTAAATAACATAAATTTAATTTGATTCAAAGGGCAATTCTTCTAGCTTCTTTCCCCTATTATTAATGGCTTTTTCTATTTATTATGAAGAGTTTCCTTCAAAAATCACTTGAAGTAGTCTGTCAAATTTCAGGTAAGCTTTAAATAAACACTGAAAATGCCAACAGGAGAGGGACTGATCTTTAAAACCACAGTGTTATAATTTGCATAGGAGTATAACAGCAGAGGCTAGCATTTGAAAAACAAATGGCAAGACAGGCTAACACATATATCCAGAAAGGTGAACGGGTAAGCAGCTTGGAGGCACTAGCCAGACATATTTACATCTTCCTAAACTTAAAAAACTATCACTGATATATCATGTGGCCTTTTAAAAACAGCGACATACCACGATTCAGGAAATTTACACACAACAGCTTACGGGCCTTCCGACTTAAAGACAAAAATCAGATATTTAGGAACCATTAGCAGACACCACTTTCATTCCCTCTGCCCCAACACAGCCCTGTGCAAGCCACACACAAGCCACAGTCTCGCAAAAGTGCGGGCCCCTTCCATAAATTATTCTTATGGCTAATAAATACAGGCCAGGACATAAGTCCAATAGGGAAATAGTTCAAGGCCTATGCTTTACTTACCTCTGCTGTCATTTTGGCAAACTTGTCAGGAGGAATGTTCCCACATAACACATTTTTCCTTAGATTAGGATTCTTTGCATCCTTGAGATTCGCTATTCTACTTCGTACCCTATTTTTGTATTTCATATCAGTGTTTTTTAATTCTTGAAAAATAGGTGCTTTGGATTTAAGGAACAAAACATTAACAAGTAAAATCTATAAAGGATTCATTTTTTGGAGCAACTTTCCTAAAGCAATGCACTTCTCCACTGTTGATCAAGTCCTCCCCCTCCCACCCCAACCAACAGTTACTTTCCTGTTCAGTGCAGGAGAATTCACGTCCTTCTGAAGCCTAATCACAGTTTCACACATGGTCAGTGAAACGCGAATTTTTGGGTAGTAGGATCTCACCCATAAATTTATGTCCAGTTCCTTGACCTCATCCTAAGGATTAACTGATTTCCAAGCCAAATATTCAAACACTGGCAGCTCACGAACAGAATTTTAAACCAGGTTTGCAACAGAAACAGGAAAGTCTTTAACAGGAACGGTGGCTGACCGTAATTACCAAAGAACATTAGCAAGTTAGAATCATGACTATTTCTATGCTCAAGAATACCCCCACCAAAAAAAACCCCCTAAAATAAAAAGAAGCCCAGACCTCTGCTCTGTAACTATTCAAACACTACTACCAGAACAACCCTTTTGAAAATTCCAAATTCATTTAGGAATAAACTTCAAGAAAATGAAATAAAGTCATTAGAAAAAGATTAAAACTGTTAACAAGAAAAGATTTAAAAATAACAGCATTTTATGTCAGAATGTTTCAAGTAAGATACAATATTGCTGCTGCAAGGAAAACATATTGAACTGAAAAAAAACCCCACACACTCACCTACACACATTCCTACATGTTTTAAGGCAAATCATTTAGGTTGTGCTGATTTTTTGAACACTTAATTTCTGCACTGATGTGTTGAACACAGTTTGCTATTTTTGTTTTAAATTAAATTTAAAAGTATTCAATACAGACCAAGTTAATTAATTTTAACATTATCAATGCTTTTTAAAAATACTCTTGTTCTAGAGCACACAGATGTACGACAAAGGATATCTTCTTCAATCTGAGAACCCAGCTCTTCCTCATCAGCACCAATAGCAATGTAATCATCTGAGGAAAACAAATATTAAAATATTAGCAACCTGACAATCTCAGTGTTTTATATCCCTGAGAGCCCATTTGAAACTCTGAAACTCAGCACATTATGAAACAACTGCAGTGAATTTTCCTTTTCTACAGGAAAGTTTAATTTACTGTATGCTTACCCTTTCAAAATGTTGTTAACATATTACTTGGAAAAACAAAAATAAGTGAAATGAAGAGTGCAATAGGAGTTTAAAAAAGTAGAGCAACCTTAAATCTTTCACTAAAACACAAATTCTGAAATCTAATTGCAAATACAAGTAGTAATAAAAAGCTTTGCTATACAGAAAAATTTAAAATATTCTAGTAGACTTGGCAAATACCCATCTCCACAGCATATCTGTATGTAGAATAACTATTATAAAAAGAAAACATTTTGTATGGCATTTCATCGGTTCTTTCAGTCCACACAATACAAGCACAAGCAATTAATGTTTTGCATTCATGCAAGAGAAAGATTTCATTAGACACATAGTAATTAAATAACAGAAACAATATTATTAGGTATTTTTTAAAAATGCAAAGCAGAGATGTGTGATAAAACATGTAAATTAGAAGAAATAAACCACAGCAATCTTGAAGACAATGCAGCACTTGACCTAAAATGTCTCAAGATAATTATTTACTGTTTCTGATCAAAACCATTACTCAAAGACAGCTGCCTTTCCAAGATAGCTTAGGACAAATTAGATACAGTATGTGTTTTCCTCCTTCTCATTTTAACACGGGTGTACTTGAATGAGTAATCCAAACACCATTTCTCCCTCCATCTCATGCTGAAGGCCACAAAACCAGAAAATAACCTTATTTTTGCGACTGGCATTCAACCCATGGATTCAACCTTATGTGTGCTGTAGAAAGTAACACAGCAAAAAGAGTTCTTGGAAAACTAACTAAAATTAAGACTACACAGAATTATGAATACTAAGATGCTATATGCAACTCTCTGGTCACAAATTATTTTAGAAGTCTATGAACTACATATCCAGAGGACCACAAACTCAAGGTCTTCAGTCAGCTTTGAGTACTGTCTGTACCTGAATTTATGTGAATTAAAAGAAAGAATAAAAGAGTGAAGAGGGTAAAAATGGGCAACTCTGAAATCTGCTTGCACTGGGTCAAGTTACACTACGCTAAGAACAAAGGAATAGGAGCTGGGTTGTAAGTTCTGGTAGAAGAGACGGAGCCACAAGAAAAAAATCAGGTCATTCTAAGGAGTCCAACTTTTAGTTTGCTCCTTATCTAGGATATCATTCAATCTGTCAGTTTTAAGACACCCAAGTGCACATGAGGAGGGAAAAAGAAAAAAGCCCAAAACAGTCAAGGAATTTACAGATGCCCAAAAGGCGTGGAAAAAGAGCAATGCAAGACTCTCTTACTGCAAGTATCTCAATGAAACTTCAAGATTAAATCAAAACAGAAAGGCAGCCTTCAAAAACCAAATCTGAAGGCCCACAGGATCTCTGGTGTAAGAAAGGCAGGCATGTATATAGTGGCACTCTCAGTCAGAGATAAGACAAAAAAAATAGCAGCTTCCACAAAATGATTTAAATGAGGAATTAAGGAGGCAATAACCTTCCTGAAAAGAAGTTCCACTGTAGGCAAGATATCAGATGAACAAAAGCCACAAAATGTCCCCATCATCAGCAATAAAAATGTATTTCCATACATTCCCATGCTGTCAAGGTTACTCATTATTTGCAACTTGGATGAACTTGCCTATGAGTATATACACAGAAATGGACATAATAAACAGGGTTTATTCTACCCTATGGGGCAGGAGAAAAACAGAGTGGGAAGGACTGAAATAGAGAAGAAGAAAACTAGTTAAACTTGAAAATATAGTCTACAAAGCTCACCTCCTGTTCTGAGAGCTGCAGAGAGCATTTCTCTACATTTCACACGTACGGAATCCGAAGTGCTTGGAGCCCGGGGAAAAGAAGGGATGAAAGAATTTGAGGGAGCACTACCTTCCTCCTTCCTGCTGCTGGAATTGCTACTTGAACTGCTAAAAAAAAGGCAAAAAGAAAACTAATATTAATGTTTTTTACCCTTCTTCAAATAACTTCGTTCCAGGGCAAAACACAGGTCTTTTGCTATATCCATTTGATGCTATTCAAAAAAGGAACACAGGCCCCCTTTTTAAAGCTACTTATAGCTCTAGAGGCAATACAATTTTAAAAGTGTCTTTAGAATATTCCCCAGGGTACTCCACACAATAGAGATACAGCAGGCATTTCACTCCATTGTGTGGCATGTAATTTTTAATTAACATGAAATCTTTTTTTTTCCCCGATGGAACTTTACTTTAAAAAACAGTGAAGATACATCACACTAACATTCAGTCTGCAGTGAATGCATTGCACTGAACCTGCTTACTGTACTGAAGTGGCATCATGGTCACAATCAATCAACAAATGTAGCTTTGCAAACTGTAAACCAAAAAGTTTTCAGCTTGCATGAGGAAAATGGTGAGAGGTTAAATTTCGATTTGAAAAAGGCTGCCAGGAACAGATTCACTAAAACCAGAAATGCACAGAAGAAATGGGCTTGCAGATACTATCTTGCAAATGTTCTTGAGCTCCTATAGTGCCATTAACACGGGCTCAGTTTTCCGATAACATGTATTTTCTGTTTACGAAAAGAAGTGCGGAATGAGATTGTTCATTAAACATAAAAGCTAACAGACCAAAGAAGTATTCTAAACCTCTAACATAGGCAATTACCACAAAGCTGTGACTGAAAGTTGTTTTACGGTTCTCAAAGCTCAGTGCTAGTATTGAGAGGAAAGAGTATTTGACAGATGAGACAGATGGAATAAACAATAACCACTCTGGCCACACCTTGAAATTGGACTTCAATCTTTTTTTAATGTCAGCAGCAGCAGGATTTACTTCCCTAACAGCACACCATTTCTTGTACAACTCTAAGTATTTCAGAAAAGAATGTGGAGTCTGTCTCTAATATGACAAATTTGGACCAAATAGTTTAATGTTAATTTATACTGAGTGAGATTATTTGTATAGTCATGAAGAATTAAGCACCTTTCTTCTCTTGCTTCAGGGCTGTTTTGTGAGGAAGATGCAGGCTCCTTTTTCTTTTCGTCAGCATCTTTATCAGTTGAAGGTCCATCTGAAAATACAAAACGTAAGAAACTCGCTTTTATCCAGAAATAGTAACCAATTTAAAGCAGTGGTAAAATATCTCTGATGTTTTCTCCTGAACCAGTTGGAAATGCTATCAGCTCCCACTCTCTGCTTTGACCTTCTCTTGCAGTACAGCCTTCCACTCCCCAACACCCTCCCCAACCCAGCAAATGGAAAATATGACAATGCTTCGGATCCTTCGAGTCAAGTCCAGCATCTGCTTAAACTGGCAGTGAAGAAATGATGAAAATGCAGACTTTTATGATTTATTTTTGCCAACTCTACTGCATCAGGTAGACAATAACTTCTTAAACTACTGCATCAAGTGTTTGGAGTTCGTCTTCCATGTTTTAAATATAAGCTCCTACTAAATACATGTAATTCTTTTTAATTATATTCACAGGATTTCTACCAAAGGACTGAACCAAACAAAACTGTGGTGTGAAAGATACCATGGTTTCCAAAAAATATAAAAATCATTTTCACATGCTTTTGAAGGAGTTTTTCAGACACACACACATTATTCTCTGTGATAGCTCTTAAACTATTTGCCTTAGTGCTTAAAAATATTTGAATTTGCCTTTCCCATTCAGGCTATGTTTAATAATGATTTTACAAAGAACAAAGACGAAAGCCCATATCAAAAAGGGCAATCACAACATTTAACTTTAGGCTAGCAAGAACACATACGCCCTTCCCTTGTAAAGAGGAATTCAGAGTGGCTAAATCGAGCTCCCGCTTGGATTTGCTCCCTAGAAAGGCTGGCTCCCTCCACTGCCTACAGAGAAAGCCTAGTGAGACTGCCATCACTCACTGACAGTTTTTGTGAATTCCTCTCTCTAAGCCCTCGTAAAGCTGCCATTACACTTCTAAATCCATAGACTGTATTATTGGGATAAGCTTATACTGCCAACCTTAAAAAGAACTAAAAACAGATCAAGAAAAGGAGGGAAATTTGGTAAGGCTCAGTCTTTCCCACAAAGATGTCCTGAACTTCGTACCTAAATCCTTGTTTAAGCATCTAAAAGTATCCTCATTTCCAGAAGAGCCCCATCCCCACATTTCTCAGGGGAACTTTGTGGTATGGAACAGACAAATTCAGGTCTCTTATTCAAGCACTGAGCATTTTTTTTCCTACAGTAGAAAATTACCGTACTGGCTTATTTTTAATAGGAACAATTTACATTTAAAGCTACATAGAAAAGATATTAAACTGAACAGGATTTTGATCCTTTCCTTAATTTTTGACTTAAGGAATTTATCAACTCAAGTATCACTTGTTAAAAAATAATCATCATAAAAAGAGACCACAGAGACAGCCATACTGGATCAGATTGAGCACCCAGCTACTATCCTGTCTCCAGCTGTACCTAAAAAGAGATGCCTGCAAAAGAGTACAGGAACCAGGCAAGCACGCAAAGCTACTCCTCCAGAATATTTCCCCAGCCTTCAGGAGCTTAAAAGTTTCCCGATTTCCTTGCCCACTGTTTGTAACTTTGTTTTCAGTCCTTGATAAATTTCTCCATTAAAGAAAAAAAGGAAAATCAAGACACAGCAGATGATGCACTTGAACTGATTTGCCTTTAATAAGCTAAAGGTGTTATGAAAAAAAATCCTAATAAAGATATCAAGTCAGTCAAGTATTATTTATAAAAAAGTAATTTTACTAAGAGAGCAAACGCAGCTATAAAGCGGAATGGATCACAGAAGTTCTTTGCTATGACACCTAAAGTGCACAATACTCAGAGAATGAAAAGAAATCGGATCTCTAACATGCATATTCACATGACTACTCTCTATGGCAACAAACGCTTATATGATATATAATTTAAAAAATATTCTAAATATTCACATAATCTCCTTTACCCTCATCATTTTTTAAGTACATGAACATTTTCGTCAGAGGCTTTAAGACAAACTGAGAGATCAAACAGGTATCTTGGGGTACAGCTCAGATTTTGCAAAACAGCATGGCTGTCTTACAGCTGAGCTCTACTTCAGCCCATTTAGCTCCATGGGGGTTTTTTTTGGCACACCAGTTGCCAAATTCAGAGCTGCCCTAGATATCTCCTGCTTATTTTGCATCAAACACACCGCTATGGTATAGCTGGCACCTGGTTTCAGTTTATCAAACGCTTCCATTTAGCCCAGCACCATTTCATCAGGGAAGGCAGGCACCTGAGAACATCCGCTGATACCCCAACTGCTCCGTTCACTTACGGCGGGGCAGGGTATACGTGAGGCATGGGGATAAAGCAAGAGGGAAAAGCACAGCTCTTCCTACACCTGCGAGCCAGTCTGGGCAAGCATTTCTCAAACCAAGGTCAAACTTCAGCAGCTGAGGCAACCAGACAATCTTCAGCAAGTATCTTCAAAACTACAACTTCTTTAATCACTTAGAGAAGAGTTTATTGACACTTTTGTTTAATCCAGTTTCGGAAATCTGAAAACAAAAGTTAACAATATTCTCTGTTTGCTTGAAATAGTCTCCTAAGCGTTTAAGTCATTCACTCGTATGGATCATAAATTGGAAAGCACTGAGGAGATCCAGTGTCAAGCAGTATTTATTCTTAAACTCACACATTAATAAGGATTTATGCTTTTATTAAAATACTGTATTGACAAAAGAACTGAATGCAATTAACAGCCTGCTAGACAGCATTTCAACTATCCTCTGGGGAAAGAAAAAAAAATTATCCTTGAGAAACCAGAAGTCCCTACTAATTAACTTATTCTACATTCAAGGGCCTGACTCCAACACAAAGGAAAAATGACAGCTAATGGGAACTACAACCAACCACAGAAATTCTAACAAAGTAAGATGGAAAAAATGGCCCTTCTGTTAAAGATATTTAAAAATTCCAATGAGCAAGTGATTCACATTAAGAAGTCTATAGAACATCATAAATATTTATGTAATATGAATTACAAGTTGGTTTAAAGAGGCACAACTACTTTTTCAACTTTGTACAGCTACTAAAACTTAACAAAACTTTTTTTCAGAAACAAATTGAAATTGTCATCAATTTTAGGACTGAAAATTATAACTTCACAGTTTTAGGTACTGCAGCTTCAGAAGGCCACAAAAAAATCTTTTAAGCTTTTTTTTTTTAAATAAGATAAGCTAATTTATATTAGTACTTCTTTAAAGTACAAAGAACAAACTACTAACATGAATTGACTATTAGCCATTGGAATAAGACTATCAAAATTCTGACTACTGCATTGCGATTTCTATCTGGGACTTGCAATTAATTCTACCTTTTCCAATGAAATAATCTCTCCAGGGTAAAATATGACATGACAGTGTTCTTTGTTACCAGAACAAAATTTTTAGTGTAATATTATATGGCCAGAGATAACATAATTAATCTGAATGTTAGAAGCCATTAATAGCTTCATCGTAGATTCTTCTAATTATATGACAAGTGAACTCAACACATTTGCTAGTAGCAAGAAAAATATAGAGAATAAAAAGATGTAATGTTTTTAATGTATAAATTTAACTTTAAATTACAAAATATTTTTTAGTAAGAATTTTTCAGAAATGTTAATGGAAGGTGGCTAGTTATTCTCTGGAAGCACATGAGAATTCAATTTAGTGGGTTATCTTACGTTACTGATTCAGGTATCACCACCAAAACTTGGAGTTTTCTGAGTATTCAGTTTAAATAAGTTAAAGGAAAGAGATATGAGAATAGGTAACAGGTGGCATAGTCATTAATTTAACAATGACCCTCATATTTAATAATTCTTTAGGTCCCATTTTCCAGATCCTGAAGAAAATAATCTTGAGATGCACAAGCAGCTACACTTGTCAGCAATTCCTCTGCAAGCTGTAGTAAGACATGGAGGTAAGATCAGAAAAGCTTCTTCCTAATAGTAGCATAGAGAGGAATACTATCTGAAATCTATAAGTAAACAACAAAACCATGAACTGTTTGCCATTTTTAAAGATTTTTTTTAATCAAAAGTGAAAAAAAGAGCATGACATTAACTTCTTTCCTATACATGTTTCTTCTCCTATACAGCATGATGTAATTTGCATCATGTGTTATTACAGCTCCATTGATAAACCTAACAAATTATAGATCTACTAATTGTAAATGGAACAGTTTCAAATATACATTTGACAGGAGGTTATTTCCACAGCTCATACTTGATATGGAAATGAAACTATCGAAATTATTTCTGCACTCGATTCTACTTTATAAGATATCAAGACATGTACTCTTCTTATCAATAGTAAACAATACTCTTAAACACTATTAGACTGTAATTTAGGAACTTATTTTGTCAATAACAATTTTTCTGAGCACAGCCAGCAGGTTAGTAGATATCCTTGAACAACTCTACCTAATGACAGCATCAACATACCTGTGAGATAGTCCTAGACTGTACCAGCTTGCTCCAGCAGAATCAAACTCAGGTTCGAAATAACAAAGGATTATAAGAGCAAAGCAATCAGAATAAAACACGTCTGTGAAGTCTGGCTGGTGTTATCTTCTCTTGACAACATTAAGCACTTAAACATTCATTTAAAATAAAACTACTCAGGCATGCACTTTTTTGAAATAGGCATTTCAAAATGTTTGTGGCCCCATTTTTAGTTTTTATTACTGGCAACAGATGATCACACTTGCTCTTAGTGGTAAGAATACTGTCCAATCATTCTGCACTTCCAGTTCAGCACATAAACTTTAGACTAGAGTTAAGTTTACTTAGAGGTCTGGACATTCTTTTTCACTGTATACTCTCAGAGTTCAGTAAGTAATTATTTATGATGAAGAACGTTAAATTCCTTAAAGAATTTTTTGTCATTGTTTCTTAATATAAAGGAACATTCCTCATAACCTAAATGGGTATGCATACATTATCTGCATAGCACACCCTATGTACTCAGCTCCTTGGCAAAACAATCATTATTTACAAATCCTGGTTTATAACCAAACAGTATTCTGAGAGCAGAATTTGCTTCTTTATGTAAATTGGGACCAACTCAGCTATGTGGTTTAACGTTCTCACAGCAACATCTGAAAGCAATCTTCCCCCGTACCTCACTCAGTGAGTCACTTCAGAAAACCCTTGCAAGCCCTCTGCTGGGCAGCTTCCGACCCCCTTAAAAAACCCTGGGTAACCTGGCATGGCCCTGGTCAAGCCATAAACATCTGGTGATTCACAACCTTTGATTTCTTCTCATGCTTCCCATGCATTCTTAAAACTTAAGTTCCAATAGCATTCAACTTAGTACATGCAGCCTGAACCATCAACAATTCTTGCCTAAATTCAAAATGTCATTTATAAAAATAACTCACAAAGACTTCAGATCTCTGAGTACAATGCTTGGTACGATTAACAGCTGTCCGCTTCTGCTGCCATCTTTGATCCATACCATTTTACATGCACTATAAACAGCATAATCGAAACTGATTTCTCAAGCAGCTCAACATACGGTATTTCGTATTCTTCTGAGAAAGTCAAAACTAATGATAAAACAGAATAAGAGTACTTTGTAAGATACCCACCCATACTTTGCACAGCCCAGATACACTATCTCCCACAGTCACAAGATTTTAAGTTCTAATGAAATGTGAAACGAGGTGTGAAACATTTGCCCGATTACGCTTTATTATATGGTCTACATTATGATCAAGCAAAATTTAACTACATAAGTTTTGAATACAAGCAGTGCTGTATTTGCAGGAATAATTTGATTTTATGTAATTAAGTGCACAACCAAAACTGTAGTAGACCTGGCACAATAAGGTACACGCAATAGTATCTGCCCTGTAACAAAAATTAGAGCATGAACAAAGGTCACGTACCCACTGCCTCAAGAAGAAAGTATTTAGCTCAGATTAATATTAAGTATTTGCTCTTTACTTTCCAGTTCCTCACATGTTTGACTTCACCTGATGGAAGCAGCCTTCGGTAGAGTCTCCCAACTCTCTTAAAACAATCTGAATGTGGCAAGCCATCAAAAGGGGAACGTCCAGCTTTCCCCAGCTGTATGTTACTGCCGCAATCCCTGTGCAGGAAACAGTAGCTGCAAACAGGCTGGATCAAGAAACTGATACAGTTGAAATCTAAGCCAGAAGAAATGAACGGAACAATTGGTTTCCAACTGGTCGGTTCCCAGCTCTGGTCTCCTAGATGGCCGCTTGAGCACTGCTGGCAGGAGGGAGCAAGGAGGCACCTGTGCAGAAGGGAAGCCAGGACCAACCCTTTCAGCAGCAGTCTACACCCAGGTGACCTGCCGTGACCACCAGGCCCCACAGGCTTCTTCCAGACTTCTACAGCATGAAAACCCTCTGGTCCTCAGGCAGGAACAGTACTCCCCGTGTTTCACAGTGTTTGAATGCTTAAAGATCAGTCAGCTACAAGTGACAAAATATTAAGGCAAGTTTGACTTAAGATACTGTGCTTAAAACAAAAAAAGGAGACAGAAGAGTACTTTTACTGTCTCAATAAATAAATAGCGATTCCTTTCCTCAAAGGACAGCGATACCCAAAAGCAGTATCCAAGGGCGCTCCCAAAAGCTGAGAACTCTGGGGGGAAAAAAAAGAGTATTCCTCTACTTTGCTGCCTAAACTAAATTGCAGTATCAAAAAAATTGAACTTCAGAGAAAAAACAAAACTAAATTTTGTCAGGGCTTTTTTTTAAAGCTTAAATTAGTAACTTGAGACCTAGGTCACTCATCCAGCTGCTGCTTTTAGAAGTCTTTAGAGTAACTCCAGTTAAAGGCACGTCCATTTCTCCACTTATGTATCTTACCACTTTTATGCACTGGATATGATACAGTTGGATGTCAAGTTCTAAGTGCAAATTTAAACATAAAAAGTACATAATTTCCATTATTTACCAGTGAACTCTGATCAGAGCCTTCATAAAGTATGCATTTCATTTATAATAAATGTAATTATAAAGATTTTAAAAGTATTTTATCAGCATATCTAGTATTCTCTAAATTCAATTACTAAAACTAACCTATTTAGTATTACCTAACTTTCTAAAGGTAGGTTAAAAAAAATTTCTGCTGTAGAGGTTGTCGCTTCTTACTAGAAGTTGAAAGCTGTCACAAATTGCCCATTTCTACATACATATACTGTCAGATGGATACAAAGTCATTTCTACACCATTTACAAGAGAATAATAAAGTATCTGATACTTCATAGCTGATAAAAATTACGCTGATTTCAAATGGCAGGGGACTAACACCTCCTGGTGTTTAGTATATTTTTCTAAACAGAATGGTAAATATCTAAATCAGTAGAAAATAACTTACACTGTTTTCTATTTCAAAATTTTAAGCTTCCTAAGCCTTAGTTTACCTAAAATTGGATACAAAGAAACAGAGTACAGCACAGCGTATGAACAAAAATATCTGGACACAGTTTGAGATTTGAGTGTTTTCAAATGCATTAAAATTAAGTACTACAAAACACCCTTGCACAAAACCCCGCTAACGGAAAGGATTCATTAACTGTGTTCATTGCTTTAAGGGAAATTAAACAAAAAGTATTAACTCACTAATTAGTAAGTTGTTTAAAAATATGAAGGGTTCAGAAAGCACAGATCTATTTCTCACTACCTGTAAGTTCTAACAGATTTTTAACGTCAATTTTTTACCGGTTTTTTTCTCTTCACCAATCATTTTATAACCAAACTTCAAAGCCTCCACATTCTCATATGAGATTTTGCACAAGTTCTTCAGAGTACCTGTTATATTTGACAAAGGAAATAGTCAAGAACAGGTTCGTTAGTGCTTAGTACTGCAGTACAGTCACTCTAGCTCAACAGCAGGCAACGAGACTTCAGAAATGAGTCATGTCACAGAAGCTGACTTCCTACTGCTTGCCAGACCCAATAAAAATATATTAACTTTTTCCTCTGAATACACTTTCACAGTAATGCACTGGTGATAGTCAAAGAGTAAAAAAACAACTACATCAGTGCAGAAAGTTTCAATACTTACACAGGAGCACAAATATATCTAAAGCAAGGCAGTGTCAAGATTTTGCATCAAGACTGCACACACTTAAAACATGCAAGAGCAAGGAAAAAGAAGTTTGTGTCACCATACCTAACAGTTTCTTCCAAGACTTGATAAGAGACTTTGCTAACGATGTAACTTCTTCATCTGTGCTTTGCTTGCGTATCGCATTCACTGACATTCCAATTCTGGTAGACTGCAAGAGAAATAAAAATAAACACTGTAAAAGGTGACATGAAGATAATTTAACTAGTAAAGATATAAAAAGTTGTATTTTGACATCATTTCTTAAAAGTATCTTTTTTCCTTTGTTTTTGGTTTTGTGTTTTCTTTCTTTTTCTTTTTTTTTTTTTTAAACAATATCAGGATGAAATGTTGCAAGCCTTTGCAAAACTTATTTTGACAACATGGATATTTTAAAGAGAAATACGACAGTACTACCATTTGTTTCCATCACAGAAGTTCGTGGCTGGGGGAAGTGAGGCAGGAGGATTAAGGGGAGTCAATCAGAAGATTTTTGCTCCCAAACCATTTCGAAAATCTCTGCAGAACTACTTATCTAAACTAAGTATGACATTCAAAACATCTAAGAATGCAAAAATCACATATACATCTTAATGTTTTATAAAATGTTTAGCAAAGGTTCTAGCCTCAAAACCTTATTTTTCTGTGAAGCGGTGACTGTATTTATATTTCGGCATGATCAGAAGCTTGACAGCTGCTTCAGTGACTTCGTACTCTTAGAATTCCCATTTAGCGGTTGTGGAAGAAGCTGTAGTATCAGTTGGGAGCGACCACGTTTTAGATTCCCAATAATTTTGGCAGTACTGAAATTCTTTAAAATCTTAAGCACAGAGGGTTCTGCTTTTAGATAGAAACAGCAAGACTAGCCTACCCCTCTGAAAAGGCCAAGACAGTGACAGCCTTTAAACCTTTGGCACTACTGCCACCTACAGAGTGAAATGAATTTACAATGCGATCCTTTTAAGACTCCTAAGATGAGGACACAAATTTAGTTCTACAGCAATAAAAGTTTCATTTTAGAAGACTTCTGATTAACGTGTTAATCTAACAAGTAGAACATTTCCACACTTTTAATTTCATGAGATGAGAAAAGTATTTAACAATACAAGTAAGTATTTTATTAACATTCTGTATTTTGATTGATGACTAAATTCTTTAAATTGTTCTTAAGATGCTCGGTTTTGCTGCATTTACTTTTTACAGGATACCCTAAATATAAATTATTCTACTTACTTTTGCAGCAGTTCATCATAAATTTCCTTCTCCTTTAAAGGAAATCTAAATCTTTCTGGCTCGCTAAAAATGGAAATGATTTGTTCCTGTAAATTACTCCTTACAACCCACACAACACTTTTTGGGGCACCATGGATGTGCTAAATGACTGGAAATGTACTGACGTATTCAGTAGCTATTTCAGCAAAGGAAACACATCAGATAAGCTCAGGTCTGAGCATGAGCTTTAAACACGTATCTTGAATTAAAGAAAACAGATGGTTACTCACCTGCAACTAAAGTATTTCAAGATGGACTCTGCTCACTCAGACTAACAGTACTGGCCAACTCTCCTGACATGTTAAGCACATACTCTGGACATTATGTTCAGACAATAAAGAATAACATGTGCTTGGAACTCCATAAAATACTCATGATACCTGAATGAGAAAAATGTATCTACAAAAAAAAAGGCAACTCTGCACTGATAACTGGGCACAGCCACAGCCTACTTTTGTCAGCAAAAAGAAAACACACCAATTTACAGACTTAGGGAAGTAAAACACAGAAACTCAAGCAAAACTCAAAATTGACTGGATAAATCAACTTCCTCTGATCACACAAGAGAAAGAGACTATGGTGACTGTCTAAACTGCCGGCTTTCCTGAGACAGTGCATAAAGATCATTCATTTGTTTGGTTTTATAGAGTGCTTGATCTGGCCTGTCCTAAAGTGAAGGGAAGGAATGATCTACTAACTTATTTGCCTGCAAACTGACACAGGTAATCACAAAAGATCAGTATTATATTATCAAAATGACTCTGCTTCAGTGACAAACAAGCTGTCAGCATTTAACATTTCTTCAGTCTCCAGCCTGTGGAGCTGTTCTTGTGAGAACCATTTTAAGTGGAAAACTCCGGTATTTTTGCCTAGCCCAGTCTAACCTGCAGAATCCCTTTATGTCTGTGCCAGTTTGTAAGTATACGAAAACCTTCCTCACCCTGTCCAAAATGCATCTTCAATGTAACTTCAAATGGAACTTCAAATTCTAGAGCACTTTTCATCTGCTTTCTGAGAGTAAAGAGGCTCAGAGAGAGCGTAAGACAGCTGTTTCCACCCCTGAAGCATTCAAGCTGTAGGCCAAGCAGCCTTCACTTGGTACGAGCAAGAGTTAGCATAGGTAACCTACGACTGAACCCAAAACAAAGCATATGGTGGCAGCTGCTCTTCTCTAAACCAGATCAAATGAGAGAGCCTTAAGGAACCTGGGGGGAGCCTGGGGAAGAAAAGCAACCACTGAGGCAAGCAGAGGTGTTACCAACTTTAAATTGTAAGAGAGTATGAGCATAGAGACTTGGTGAGCACCTGGACCAAAACAGAGCCAAATCAACCCCTGAAGAATAACCACCTCCAGGTTCCCAGGTCTCCCCAGCTCGCCAATGAACTGGCAAGAAGGACTGTACATGGCAGCCTAGTTCTGCATACGCGTGTGTAATATCCAGCAAAACCTGTTTGTTAAAATAAAGACTGTCTGTCTCACTCACTGTTTAGCTGCGCACAGCTGGCACCAGGGACATGACGCCTTTAATACTGTGTGGCTGCAAAACAGATTTGCAATTCTGACCACTGGACAAATCATGTGTGAGGACAGCTACTGGCTCCTTGCCTAGCTGAGCAAGGATCAGCTTGCTTACCCAAAACTCATTAGATATGACTCAGTTCTATTATTGTCTGTAACCACTTCAGTTTTCTGTGACAAAAGTCAGAGAAAGACACAAGATACAAGCAGAAGTCCAGACTACTGATGTGCACCTTCCTATTCTACATACCTGTAAATTGCTCAGAGGACATGACCAGCTCAGACTGAAGCAACGGTCACGTTAGCGGAAATAAAGTCACTTCTCTTAACACACAGGAATAATGAAACTATCACATCTGCTAGCAGTGCTTTTCTCAATGTAGCCAGCTTTCAAAACTGCTTAAAAATGGGTGTGGAAATAAGCTTTTCACTTGCATCCTGCATTTCATTAGTTCAAATGCATCAATAGATACCTCAGCCTACACAGAGGAAGTTAGTGCTCACTTTCTCATGATCATCACCCTTCTTGACATCAGCACACTCAGGATCCACTACCAGAACGAAGCATATGATTACTCTGCATTTCAACTGTTGCTCTGGGCCCTCCACTGATTGAGCCAATTTGGGAGACTAACAGAAAATTTATGGCAGACTTTACATATTCATGAAACTCTCAACATAAATAATGTTAAGTTGAGTCTAAACATGTTGCTAAATGCAATCTTATGCAGTGGAACTGTTCTGAATAATACAGCAGTGGATACTTAAGAAAAACTTCTTAACTAAGCTGCAGTCAATCTACTACACAAGAGTACGCTAAAATACCTGATCCCTTTAGAACTACTATAATACAGAGAAACTTCTTTACAAACTCATATGGTGCCCGCCCCAACACAGATTAAAAACAATCTTTTACTGCAAATATTATTTTCACTCTAAAAACTAGCTTCTGTCATATGGATGAGAACAAGCAAGCTTCTTTCAAATAGGATAGCAAACTGGACAGAATTAATACGCAACCCTGTATAAATTAAGTCAGGGTCACACAAGTGCCCTAAAAGGCAGACAAGTTGAGTTTGTTTGCACTTAGCAAGACTAAGAGTCCTCCTCTGTTGATAACATTACAAAGGTTTTCATTGCAACTAAAAAAAGTGTAAGTTATCTACTTGTACATTCTTCAGATCCTCACGGTTCAAGAGTAGAAAAGCTCTCTGTAAAGCTTCTCCTTCTAGTCTCATTCTTCACACTAAGCAGAACAGGTTGGCACAGCAGCATTTACAGAATATCCAGAGCACTTGCAGAGATATTTTTTCATTCCAAAGGCAAAAAACAGTATTACACAAATACTTTGTATTAAGACCTGGACAAAGAAACTCAAAGGAATCAGGTTAACAGGTTTTTTTCCCAGGTTTTGTTGTTGTTTTGTGGGGGGCTTGAGGGGTGGTTTTTTTCAGTGGGGTGTTGTTTTGGGGTTTTTTTAAGGAAGGAGGCAGGACATGGGGGAGAAGGTTGCAGCATCATAGCAGCCATGCTTATTCATGCATGAAGGTGACACTTTCAAATTCCTATTTTCTGTCACAAACAGCATTAGTAATAACGTACTAAGCACATTCTGCAAATACACAGGATACATATGTCAAGAATGACATTGCTACTCACACTTAAGATTTGAATTTTATAGCTAATTCTGTATCTGTGACCATTAACTGTCACTTTGAAAAAAATTACTTTTCAGTCTCTTCCAATTTAAGTGGCTACCCACAGCAAATCAGGTCTTAACATTTACCTCTGCCATTTGAAAACTTTCAAAGAGATAGGAAATAACTAGTTACTTTGGAACAGAAGTTGTTCATTGATGAACTACATGACAAACTCTGAAACTTGACATGCAAATAAAGTTCACTGAGTTACTTTTTGAAAGAATTTATAAATAATATATAAATTACTACATTAGAGATGTAGATATAAGCAAGATTAGAGAGAGTATGCATGCAAGTGAGAGAGATTGTACCACACCATCACTCCCGCCCGGGGGAGTAAAAGGGGAGTAGTAGTAATAGTAGTATAGTTACCTTAAGAAATACACTACCCAGAGTTATGTGGGAAACAAAACAAAACAAAAAAAAAACAACAACAAAAAAAAAAAAAAACCCCAACCAAAAAAAACCCAAAAAAAAACTGCTGGAAAGGATTCCATTTTAATCCTTTTTATTTGAAAAAAAAAAAAAAAAAACAAAAAAAAAAAAAAAAAAGGGAAATGGTCAAATACAACTTGCCTGAAGATATGAACTATGTTTTTCCTCACTTACAATCCAAAACCAGAACTAACTACATAAGAAAAGAAGGTATCAGCTGTAATCGGGTGCGTTCTCCTTCAGAAGGAAGGAAACACATCACATTTGTGTTAGTAAGAACCTAAGATTATACGTAGGGTAAGGTTATAAGCAGTTCTTCCCCTTTGTCTATGACAAAATTCACTATTTTCATATTAAACAGAAAGATAAGCTTTAAGAGCTTGCTACTGGAAGAAAACAATTAAGGTAAGTGCCCTAAATCAGGGTGAAATAAGACTAGTTATCCTGTAACAACACTGATTCTTCCAAGGAGTTTCTATGTAAGTATCTACTTTAATAATGCAACCTTCTTCCAAATTTGCTGTCTTCACCTTCATCATTATGGAGTTAATATTTGCAACATAACAACAATAAGAAAATCATACCTGTAACAACTCAAGGGTCATGGGAATATTTTTAAGCTCCTTCAGTAAATCAAGAGCTCCAGCCTGCAAAAAAGAAAGGAAAAAATAAGTCAATTTAGTAGCAATCAGATACTTTAAATGTAGTACATACCCTCATCTACCTTCAAGGTTCCAGACTGGATTCAAGCCATCAGTTCCTAACTTATCCACAGAACAACTCTAGGGCAAGGAGTGTTCTGCTTCACAAACTCTAAGCATTAACAGGCCTTAACTCATAAATCAAAGTATTCACTCAAAGACTAAAGTAGTTTTATCCCTTATAATTCAAATGTCAATTAAAGCATTTTGTCAGTTACTACTTAACCAACATACATCCTCAAGAAAACAGCCTCAAGGGCTCACTTAACAGCATCAGAAACAAGCCAGACAACAACAGCAATTTTCAGTTCAGAACAACCTCAGCTGTTTTAACTCAAGAACTTGGAGTTGAGAAGCTCTGCATAGTCCATCAATAATACATATGGATATATATATGCACATATAACTATATATATAAAATATATACACCCAACATTCTTAACTGTATTTGCAGTGGTGTGGTACAGCCAGAAAAGTTTACTGGTTTAAAAACCGTGAGCAGATTACACTGTATTACTAGGACACAGCTATAGGTTCCCTAGTAGAAAAAGACAACTTTGTTGAGTGTGTCTACCAGCAAATGCCCAAATAAAAAAAGTTCAGCAAGACTTGCCCTATTAAGTTTAAATATTAGTTCAATGATACACATGGTTTAGGCTGCACAGGCTAGTGCAGACAACACTCTTCAGCCCATACCAAACTGGCCAAGCATCAACATGTTCCAAACTAGAAGCCAGAGCCCATCCTAATGTGCTGCAACATCTGAGCTAATGCGCTTGTTTATTATTCAGCTGTCATGGGTTCTTCTTTTTTCCTTTTCCCCTGCTAAGACTATAAGGAAAGGTACAAACTTTGTAAGCAGCAACTTTCTAGACAGATGAGTTAATTTCAGAGATTGTACTGCTAAGCATTAATAAACTGTACACACAGCTACCCTGACTAACAACTCATTCTTTGGCTATGTTGGCCTTACTTCAAAAAAAAAAAAAAAAAGTTTTCACAAATGTGAGCTCCATAGTTTACTTCAACCTCTACATCCTTGATGATTTACCACCTCTACTTAAGTAAAGCTCTGTACCATCCACTTCTTCCTGTGTACACAGGTTGTCACACTACAGCAACTTCCTAAAGGTTGAGATGATTTTGCTGTTACTGAAGTGCATATGGTTCTGAACCTGTGAGCTATGAACAGCCAGAAGGCAACCGCCTTTGCATACAAGAGGCCACTCTACCCAGGCTAACCCCATTGCCTTCCCCCCCTCCCCCTCCCCCCACTTTTTTTTTAATGCATGAGGTTTGGAAATAAACCCCACAAAATCTCCATCTTGCAGGTCTTTGGAATTTGATTCCTTTCTCTTTCCTTGCCTCTCTCTCAACTCATCCTATTTTGCTTACTTTAATACGCCTTTTGTTTGCCTTCATTTTTAAATTCTCCCTAATCAACTTCTAATATGACACCTGTTGCAAGGAAACTCTCCTCTTCTCCTGGTGCATCTGCAGGTCTTACGATTTAACCACTAAAGATAGCACATAAAATAACCACCAAGAGGCTGAGGAAGATGAAAGTGGAACTTGTGTCACATCCAAGCAGGCACAGCTTTGAACGCTTTCAAATATATGCTATAACCTCTGTTTTTTAAATATATCTGACAGCAAAGAAGCCTCTAAAAACAAACATTTCACTATGTCCCACCTTACAAAAACCCAATTCACTTGTAAAACTGAAGTTTTACTATTTTGCCATCATATTAAAAAGTCTTATTTAGCTTTTATTTGTGATACACAAAACTTCTCCAGTTTTAACCACAGAATTTTAGCAGCAATGATGCAACACTGGGAAATGTCATGCTGTTTTCAGGTGCTAAATTGAGTTAGCATACTAAACCATTTCCTTCTCTTAACAGCCATAAGCACGGTTTCTTCTGCACAAAATAGATCCAAGTAAAGCAAGTTAACTCTCTTCACTGCTACAAAACAAAATCAAATTCAAGAACATTTTCTTAGCTGAAACAAAACGAATTACAAAAGTCAACGTGCCATTATCAAAAATATAACCCGGTAACACTTACCTCCAAACCAAGTAAGTTATTAGCAAACAGTACACAGTATGGGATTTCAAAGAAATATAACCCGGTAACACTTACCTCCAAACCAAATTAGCAAACAGTACACAGTATGGGATTTCAAAACAAACACAGGTTATTGTAGTCTGCAATTTCAGCGTAACAATGATACTGTAATGCAAAGTAGCACTCTCTTCATCTCGTCTTAGAAATACAGCCTCATCAACTCAACACTTTTTCATAACCACTTTTCTTAGCATAAAATCAAGTGCCCCCTTTTCCTCAAAACCAGAGTGGAAGTTGCACAGTAAAACTTGTAATTAATATTTTTCTAATGTAAGACTTCTCTGCTTAAAAATCCCCAACCATTAAGAACATTATTATAAATCTTCTTTTAAAGGCATTTCAATACTTCTGTGGAACATGAAAGGCAATGTCCCATTCCACTAGGCTGGTTGGCTTCCAGTATGCTTCTCTCAGTTGATCAGATCATAACACCAGAATGACGTTCTATATTCCTATTTTAAAGCTATGCTTCAGGCAACAGAAAACAGAGTACGTTTCTGAAGACAGCAGAGCTATCCAGTTATAATTCTTTTCTACTTAAGGGAGCAAAAATTTCATAACATGGGCAATTTTACATTTTCTTCTCTAAACTTACGCAACCAGTTTTTATTTTTTTTAATCCATGGGCGCAACCTTATTTTTCATACCTACTCATTACAGCAGCTTAGTGAAAAAGTGCACTTAAGTACAACAAAAGCTATAAGGAAGGCAACTACACGTGTTCTAATCCAATCATAGTTATTCTGAAGGAGGAGTAATATCTATCTCAAGCACACAACTGGTACTTGGAGTAACAGCAGACATATGTATCTCACAGTGTATTAAATACAATATTGCATTATTATTTTGTCCTTCAAAACAAAAGAACTGCATATACCACTCCGCTAAAATAGTTATGAAATCTGCTCAGCTACAATTAAATCCTTAGTCAAGGCAAATCACCAAGAGTCTGACTCAGGAAGGGTGTCTACACCGACTGCCTTTTCAACTCATCAAAAGAAATGCCAAACAGCACGTCGCCACAAGTCACAGCGTCACTTTTTGTATAAGAGATGAAGCATGTCTTGCCATCTGAGTCTTGACAACTTCAGAGTGAAAAATACCAAAGCTTTTTTTTTTTTCTTTTATTGATGGGTATTATCAAATCATTCTCACTCAAAGACATACACCAAATACCTGTTCTCCTTGAGTAAAAATGGAAAAACGAATAGAAGAGGTTGTCAGGAACATCCATTATCCAGTGGGTACTTAAGTATGAATGCTTCATATTTGTGAGACAATGAAGTACCTCTTCATAGAAATGATCTTAATTTTGCTAAAGTTAGCATTTTAACTGCAGGGTGGGATTAGGTAGGAAATTGTCCTGGTTTTGGCTGGGACAGAGTTAATTTTCTTCCTAATAGCTGGCATAGTGCTGTGTTTTGGATTCAGTACTAGAAGAATGTTGATAACACACCACTGGTTTAGTTGTTGCTAAGCAGGGCTTACACTAAGTCAAGGACTTTTCAGCTTCCCCTGCTCTGCCAGGGGCACAAGAAGCTGGGAGGGGGCACAGCCAGGACAGCTGACCCCAACTGGCCAAAGGGCTATTCCAGACCATATAACATCATGCTCAGTACAGAAACTGGGAGGAGTTGGCCAGGGAGCAGCAACCCTTGCTTGGGGACGGGCTGGGCATCGGTCAGTGGGTGGTAAGCAATTACATTGTGCATCACTTGTTTTGCATACTCTTTTATCATTATTATTATTATTATCCTCTGCTGTTTTATTAAACTGTCTTTATCTCAACCCACACGTTTTACTTTTTTTCTGATTCTCTCCCCCCTCTCACTGAGGGGGGGAGGGGAGCGAGGGAGCAGCTGTGTGATCAGCTGCCTGATGGGTTAAACCACAAAAAAATCACACCGGGCAACTGAAGAACAAATACCTCTACAAATGACAGAGACTGACAAGAAAAACACAGAGACACCTCCTGGGTTAAATACTGATGTACTTCCTCTCCTATCATACAGCTAAGGGTTTTTATCACAGTATACACATGTGCTGTGGATAAACTGTCCTATCTCCACTATCAGCCGCAGACGCAGCTCAAGTCCTCTGCCTTAGAAGGTTTTTAAGACAGCATCAAACTCACAACAGAGCCACTTGTGTGTGATATGGAGCTGCAACGAATGAGCTCTGTTCCAGCAAAGTTCAAAAGCGCAACCACTTCTGGTGCTGCCCGTGCTCTCGCTCCTGGGACAGGGGTGAAGATGATGGCCCAGCCGCTGGCCCCCACCCAGCTGTGTGTGCTGGGTGCACATCAGACCCACGCTGACCCCAGTAAGGACATTGTGCTGCTCCCTAGAGCCCTGAAAGTTAATTATCTTACACACGCCAAGAGCGTGAATACGCGTCCTCAGCTGCTGCTAGGAATTACATCCAAACTCCCAAGCCTCCCAGATCACAGAGAAATACACTGTAGTCACCAGGAACATCTCTGGTTTCGCTGCAGTGATGCTCCCCAGCGTCAACAGTCATTCCCATATTACCTGGGAACTGACATTTTCCTTCTATTGTCAGAAGTTCTTCCAAAAAAATTGAATTAACTGCACTTCATCATTCTCACTGCCACAATACTGAAATATTTTAGAGTTGGTATGTTTTCATCTTTTCAACACCTCATAGGAAGGAACCACGACTCCAATTTTGGAGTCAGGAAAGTGAGACTGAAATCTTTTGTGCTGAAAAAGCATGAGGAATAGAAATAAAGAGGGAGGGGACAAAAATGATAAAATTAATCAAGTGAATAAACACTGGTTGTAAAAATTTTTTTCCACTAGGCGAGGCTCCTGTTTCCACACTGTACCATTCCAGGGTTCAAATGTATCAGGGCTAAACCATACAGTACTATGGGACATCAAGGATTCCGAAACACAACAAAGCATGGCCTGTGTGTACTTGCAATGAATTTGTTTGGATTCTGGACCAGCTTTCCTTGGTTTTATACAATCAGCATAGTCTATAAATATGCAAATCTTACTTTAAAATGTTATTCATAATTTCCATTATCTTAAACAGCAAACAACAAAAAAAAAATCTGCTGCACCAAGACTTCTATAAACTAAAATTCCATATAGCTCAGTTCTGAATTATCACTGATATTGAGCATTTAATGCACTATCATAACACACAGAAAAATTTTAAGTACTAAAATAACAGTTTGTAGGAAGAGCAGCAATCCCAAATACACAAGTTACAAGAGAGTAACAATATGCCCACCTGATACAGAAGTGGTAAAGGGAGCTTATAATTTATTTGTATACTGTTTTATGTGCAATCATAATCAGGTATGTGGCAGTTGCCACACACTTTGATTTTACTTATTTTGACGTTTTGTAGGGATGGTATAAACTTACATGAGAATAACATGTGAAGTAAGCTAACTGACTTCTACCCAACTGAATTCCATCTCTATTCTGAGGCAGAATTACCTGAATTAACAAACGTGGTAAAAATTACATTCGTACTTTGTTTCAGGTTTAAAAACAACAACAAAAGGTGGCTCACGTCCCCGATCCGCTTCAGAAGTTTGCCCACGCAACCCTGGCCGCCCAGCCTCAGCAGGCTTAGGGTTCCTCACTAACTGACTTCTACCCAACTGAATTCCATCTCTATTCTGAGGCAGAATTACCTGAATTAACAAACGTGGTAAAAATTACATTCGTACTTTGTTTCAGGTTTAAAAACAACAACAAAAGGTGGCTCACGTCCCCGATCCGCTTCAGAAGTTTGCCCACGCAACCCTGGCCGCCCAGCCTCAGCAGGCTTAGGGTTCCTCACTCACGCTTTTAGCTTGCACGCCGCGGGTGAGACAGCAGCCCTCCTCCTTGGAAGCAAACCCGGCCCGCCCGGAGCAGCCTGCCTCCGCGGGCGTCCTCCCCTGGCTGACGGGGCGTCCCACACC